TTCCCTACCTCTACCCCCTTTCTCCTGTTAATCACCATCCTGCAGGTGATTCTTAAACACTTTAAGGTTGATGACTGTTTAGGTTTCTGAACTCTCAGACACCTTCCCTGACAGTGATCCTGGTTTGACGGGCTCCCCTAATCTGTCAAGACGAGAATGCCAGAGGATTTAGGTTTCATTGTAGTGAGTCTTTGTTAAGCTTTAGAGACCTCCCTCTGGATCTAACCATCTTTCCTTCTGTGGGGAAAACCAGTACCTTGTCCACCAACATTGGGACGGACTGACGCCAAATGGCGGAATACTCTGTATGCCTGGACTTGAGCCGAACAAAGACCTACTTGAGTCTGTATTTCCCTAGAATTAAAGATATTCCAGAGACGTTACCAATGTGCAAAGTAATGTGGGAGGCCCCCTGAGAATGGCAGTCTTGGGCCCCTTCATAGCAATGGCAAGGCATTCCTCTTTAAGAGATTTATTTCAGGACTGATTGGACTTTCCAAACCAACGTTTTTTGGCGGCAGAAAGAGACCAAGGTGGATGAGCCATCTATGACCAACACCTTTAGGAAGGAGGGCCCTGCTGCTTCCACCACTACCCTTTCACCTTTTCATTAATTGCAGTTTGCTTTTTACTCCTGTCCCTTACCCACCAAGAAAATGAACTTTTAAATGAAGACTGTGTGGTTGAAAAAAAAAAGGATTCTATGGAAAGTAACCTCACAGGATTGTCTGATCATAAGTTCCTAACAGGGCAGGTCACGGTGAGTAGTGATGCCCCAGGCACATAACTTTCAGCAAGAGGTCTGTCCTCGTCTTAAGCCAGCCCTGTGCACTGTTTCTGTGCGTTTAGGTTAACACACCTTTGAAATCAGGGAAACCACCTTCAAGAAATCAGGGGATCTTTTTAACTATCCTGTAGTCCAATCCCATATCCATGCCATTCTCCTTAGTTCCCTCCTTCATTTCAAATGCATAAAAGAAGCTGCAATCTGCTATTTTCCAGAGCATTTGAGATCTTGCTCTCCGACATATGTTTGGCTCAAATAAACTCAGGACATTCCTTATGTAATTCAATTGCCAATCCAAAGTCTTCTCCTTTAATCCTGATCACCCTTAATCTTCCTGAATCATTTAATTCTGTTAACAAGACTGAGTATGATATGTGAAAGCATCTAACACTGTTGGTAGAATCTCAAAAACAAAAAACACCCCCAAAAGGGCATATTTCTCTCCCTTACCTGGAAACTCGACTGCCTTGTGTTTTGTGAAAAGAGCTTCATTCTGAGACTTCATTCATGTGGCCATTCCTATTTACAGTTCAGTTCGTCGTAGACTTTCTACCACATTGCCTCAAATCTTTTGTGGGAAAAGGTGGCATAAAAATCTAAATAGGTTACATTCATTTAGTCTCATCTGGTTGCACTAGTTCTAGCCCAAATGTCCCTTTGGAGCGTTGGTCCCAAAAGGATTTCAAACTCAAATTTCTTCCTCATCTCAATCCAGATAATGTTCTCCTGAATTTTCCTTTTTCAGTTAATTTCAGTCACCAAGGTTCAAAATTCCGAAGTCATCTTTCACTGTCTCCTAAGTTCTTCATCTTTAAAGTCTCTCACCTCAATGTCAACTGTCCACTTGCTCTGTACTTTGTTCCATTGCTAGACTACTGATACATTACCCTTTTAACTGGACTCCCCCTCTTCAATCTTTGTCTTTCTCTAATTCATCCTAGACATTGGATCCATAAAGAACCTAGTTTTACAAATTGTGACATGAAATATGTACATGTCCATAATAAAACTTAATGAAGTGTCCATCAATTGGGGATTCATTGACTTACGTAGTAAATCCATGCAAATAATGATTAGTTCTTGTTTATAGATATGAAAATGTGTCCACAGTGTGTTAACTTCTGTATTGTCTATTGTTTTGACAGTGAGCATATATTTTAAAATTTAAAAAAATATATTTTCACTTGGAAAAAATAAGACCAGATATAATTTTAAATTTTATTATTAGACAATACAATAAAATTATATTTTTGCTATAATTACAGAAATATTAGTACATTACAATATTATAATATTGTCAAGATATATAAAATATTCAATATATTTTAAATATATTTCATTTGGTTATAGAGTGAATATTAAATTAAGTTTTGAAGCAGTAAGTTGCATTTGATGCATAGAAAAATCTTTGTAAGTTAAATTAGCAATAAACTCAAATTTAGTATTATTGTAATTCTTTTTATAAATAAGTTACTTAATAATATTTACCTTGCAAAACGAGAGACCTCTGAGCAAACTGTGAAATTCCAAAGGTGAAGCCCCAAATTTAAAAGAAACAAGTTATTTTACATTTTATCTGCAAAGTTAAATCTTCATAACTTTAAAAACTCCTCAGATTATAAAGCTACTACTGTAGAAAGTAACGCACATGAGCTGTGTTTCAATGCTCAGTCTTAGAAGTATATTTGAACAACTTAGTATGGCTTCATTGGAATTTAGCATTACTCGTCTTCCTCAGAAGTTAAACACTGATGAGAGGGCAAGAGAAGATGGAGGCTGGGGGACAAGCGGAGGCCAGTTATTTGGCATTAGCACCAATCTAGGGCTTTTTCTTATTAGTAACATTAGGTAACCGTAAGTTCATTTGTGAATTTGAACTTGAAAGAGAGGGACAGGTAGAACAATTGTAGCCAGCTCTACTTGGTAACTGTCTGTACGATTGTTGTTTTGGGGGGTATTGCCCAGAACAGTTTTTTTTTTTCTTCAATCTTTAGGGTGCATTGGAAATCACCGGGAAGACTTGTTAAAACAGATTTCTGGGACTTACCCCTGAGTTTCTAATTCTGTAGGTCTGGGTTGGCCCTAGAATTTGCATTTGTGACAAGTTTCCACATGCTGCTGGTCCAGGGACCACACTTCAAGAACTGGTCTATGGAGGGTTTGTGGAGATCCGTTAGCCCTCCATGCCAGTATGGTGCATTTTGGACAGTAAGATATTTTTAGAGCAAAATGTCTTAATATTAGGTGAGTCTAAATTAGTAATCTGAGTATAAAAAGTGCTTCTTCATTTAAGTGTAAAAATGGCTTGACATCAGTCATTTGAGCAGTGGAGGATGCGGACCGTGGTCACTGTCTGTGCTGTCCTCTGGGGCCACGTCTTCGCTTCCAAAGCAACTGAGATTGAAGCAACAAAACCAGAATTTAAATGTCAGCACCAACTCCACCTAGGTGGGTCAAGAAACATATTCAGGGCTTTTTCTTAGGTTGACTGACTTCTGAGACTCATCAAATAGTGCTACCATCAAGTATAAATGGTTTTAAATGTCTTGCAGATCTTTGTTTTCTTTATATTGTCCAGACCTTGGCTTCTGTGATGCCTAGGAAAAGCCAGAAGCCCTGGGTACCCCCTGGGCATAGATCTTATTTTTGAACCTTTTTTGAGGTCTGCTGAATTATCATGAAATATTAGGACAGAAGTAAAGAAGGAAAAGGGGGAAAAACAACTCAGATATGTAGGATTCCTAACAGAAACAAAATTACCTTTTCTGGGATATTAGGAATAAAACAAATATATATATAATTTCCCCCTATTAGTGTTTCTGTAATTTAGCATAGTGCCTGAGTATGGCTTGGCACTGAATAAAATGCTTGTTGAATTAAGTTACCCCGGGAATGTATCAGCACATTGAAAAGCAAGTTTTATGACACAGCTGCCAAGCTAGACAATTTGTACATTAATATTTTCACACAGTGGACTCTCTCAATATAGTTTGAAAGAATATGTAATATTTAAAAACATGTTTTTACCAAAGAAGAATTAGAGAAATAACAAAGGAATCTCAAAATATCCAAATTAAATGGAATATTTAGAGCAAAGGAAAAATCTTCTGAGCCTGATAATCCAACTAATGCCTTACGTTTTTTCATGGATTACTGAACTACTCAATTATATGCACTAACATTTATAAGAATGGAGATAAAGTACAAATCTAAGTAGTTTTCTTGTTATTTTTGTGGTTGTGCTGGTAAAAGTCAAAATTTAGACACATTTTAGAGTATGTGTGTAAAAAATATTCTATTAAAATTAAGTCACTAAAGTTAAAAATTGTACCTACTTGGAACACAAACAGGCTATATTGCTACAATGGACAAACAAAAAGACCTTAAAAACACAAAACAAAACCATACAGTGTTTTCACAGCTATTGCGACTCCAGGGAACCCTCGTTTTGGCCTTAGTGTTGAGGATATTTGAAAGAGCCCTAGGAAATCTGTGCACCTCAGTTTAATTCTGGTTCCCTCAAGCCTGAGGTTCATTAACAGATCCGAAAGTCCAGTTCCATCAGTGAAGCCTCATAATCCACTCACCCCCATCTCCTCTACTTAGCATCTAAAAGTCTTAGGAAGTCGGTGGGGCAATCTGAAACTGATAGAGCCTCCCTGAATCTCAAAGACTGGAATAGAAGGGGGCAAATCTTGGGAATTTAGTGGACCAAATATAGCTCTTCACTTGGCACATCAAACTTTATACAGTCACCATTTAGATAGTGCATTGGACACAAGTGGAATACCATTTCAGTGATATTTTGTGAAAGCTCTGCTGCCTTACCATAGGGAACTTGGAAACACAGACGTAGAGACCAGGATCACAGAGCTAACTTAAAGTAAGTGCTTTGTTGTGTGGAGAAACGAATAGAAACTTTGTACCAAGCCATCATAGAGCAATATTGTTTGGTTAGAGAGAAAAAAAAACCTTAAATGCATTTAAATACTTAAATAACCAATAAATGCATCATTACTTGATTATTGAAGATGAAATAGCAGTTCTATTTTCATTGATTTCTTCATTATCTTTTCTTCATGCACACCCGACAGCGACTTATGATCTTTTCTAACTCCCCAGCTTTCACAGTTGATGGAATAGGTTTTCTGAAAATAAATAAGAAAGAAAAGACAAGACAAATATCATCAATTTGTAGATAAAAAGGAAATGCTTGTTGGGTTTGAGTTTTATCAATGCATGTTATATCTCACCTAAACTTTATTATAGAAGGTATATTTCTGAAAATGTATATATATATGTAGACATTTTATGATTTTAGTTGTATTTCAGTAGCACAGAGGAAACATACAGATCATCTTTTTATAATGAAAACTACACCTACTTTTTAAATAGCCTGTCTTAAAACTCATCCGATAATATAAATTAAAATTAGCAGATCATTTAATGGTTTTATTCAGTAATTTACTATCAATCTATATCTAAATATTAACCAGTTAACTTCCATGCGTCCAAAACAGAAACCATCCCCACATCTTTTTATGCTATAGACGCTTATGGTGTACAAAGGGTTAAATACATCTAGTGATGCCTTTGTTGGCATGGTAGTACAAAACCATGGCTATCTGTTGCTGTTTATAAACTAGAAGTGCCAAGCTAAACAGGATTTCACTGGTATGCGAACCTTTAAAAATATGAGTACATCAACACACAGGTAATCAAAATCTAACAAAGGCAACCTTTTAATAGTTCTGCAGTTGAGTCATTAGATTAAATTTGATTTTGAATAATTACCTGAACATTCTTTTTGGGTTTAATGAAGCCAACCAGAAACTGTAGGAATTTGAATAGTAGTTGCATGTTCCTCTTCCATGACATTCTATGAATGGACTGGCTCGGAATTCTTCCAGGCAGGATCCCGGGGATGCCAGTGCTTGCCCAGAGCCCTCAGAACCTGCACTTGTGAACTATGACAATGAAAATATCAGAATAAGAATTCTGTGCATGGTGTTGAAATTTTTAGTGCCGTACATATATGGCATCTTGTCTTCTATTACTACATATGTATATAGTAACAGAAGACAAGAAAAAAAGCATGAATTTAGCTTCTTACGCTTTTTTGCTCAGATTTGCTAGCATTCCATTTACTTGCCATGTTGAACTATAGTCATCAAAAAGAAAGCAAAAACTTTCTTTTTCCCCAGGTGTGACTGGTTCTTTCCTGTCATTCAGAGGTCGGAATTAAATATAATTTCCAGAGGCTTCCTTTGATGTCATTCCTCTCACATTCTCTCCCTTTAGTCTTGCCTTATGTCCTTCATAGTACCATTTACCGTTGTTGCTGTGTCTTCCTGTTTATTGTCGACCTTCTCCACTAGGATAGAAGCTCCACGAGAGCAGGAACTTTGGCTCTCTGTAGGTATCTTCAGGACCTAGACCATTCATGGCATTTGGTAGGGGCTGATGTTTGAAACAATGGACATTTGTATGTAAAGAAGGGGGAATGGTGTCTTATAAATGATGCTGTACAGAATATGAATAACCACTAACTACAGTGTAAAGCAGTCAGACTCACAGATGGTCAGTTCATAGATTTCTTCATTTAGTACTTATATCAGGGGAAATTTTCTTTAACAGGTGATTTCTCTTAGTTGCCATCTTCATATGAATGCCAAAGGAAACAGTATAAGGCATAAAGATTTTGGGGCAGGCAGATTTAGGTGCAAATCCTAGTTTTACTACTTACTTATTGTGGGACCTTGGGAAATTACTCCTTTTTAAAAATATAATCTGTAGATGATAGAAACTATCTTGCCGAATTTTCATAAGGATTATGGAGTATGTATATAAAATATGTACTACATTTTTAAAAATAGACATTTCATTACCAATATTGTAGTTATTGTTCACCTAAATGTCTTATTTAGAATTTGTGGGTAATCTCCTGAGAAGTTTTTTCAAATGCTCCATTTTTTACCAAAGAAACAACTTACTGGTTTTTTAAAAAGAGAGTATATTTTCACATTTATAAGCAAATGTTCATGACATATTATATGAATTGATGATAGTCACATTTTGGGGGCATTTAGGATTTCATAGGCAGTTTTTACTATGAATTTGCTGTCCCTTTTTCCTTACCATGATGAAAGAAAATCCTGTCCAGAGAGAAATCCAGTCATGGGGACATGCGGGAATGTCTGTGGTTTGGCTGTGAATGGCTATGGCAATCGCAGGACCTTCACAGACAGTGCATCTGTGACATGAAACAAAGAATGTGGTGGCATTACCACTTTTTGCACTGTGATTTGCTGTCTGCAGTGTGATTACAAATGGAGTAATTTACCTGGTTTCATCACAAACTAAAGGATTGAATTTTTACCTGCTAATATAAGGCTGCAGGGCCCTGCCGGTAATTGGAGCCATGTCCATTGGCATCGGAGCTGGTGTTGACAGCCAGTATGAATAATCATTTCGAGATGCGAAATTACATACATCATTGATGTTACAGAATAGGAATGGCATTGTGGTAAATCGCTGTAGGCAGCTTCCAAGAGTTCCTAATAAAACATCAGACTAGGTATCACTTTCAGTAGCATTAAAACTATTTTGAATATTGTTACTAGGTAGAGACGAATTAAAACATAATCTATGGCAAAAACTGAAGAAAGACAACACTAAAGAGTTATAACTGCTGAGAGGTGGGAGCGGCTGGGGAGAGGTAAATGGGGAGAAAAGGAGACTTACCAGGTATGTAATACATTAAGCAATAAAAATTTTTTTTAAAAAAGCTGTAACACGGAAGAGTTATATAACAAAATGTGTTATATAAGTTTAAAAAATGATAGAAATTAAAGATTCAGTGGGTAAACAAATCCTCTTTCTCCTTCCATAATATTTCCCGTGGCTCTTTCTAATCAGTCTAGTATTTGAGGACTGGTAGAGGTTAGTTAGTTTTTGCTTCAAAGTATTCTTAGTTCTTGATATGTATATAATAGCTAATAGCCAGATAAAGCTTTAGAAAAGATGTTGCTTTTAATATTAAAAAAGTGATTAAGTGAAAATTGTTTTTGTTGAATAGGACAAGCTATATTGGCATTTAAGAGCAAGGCTCCTGGCTTCGAGTTCAAGATGACGGAGTAGCACTCAGCAGGTGTGGCTCAGTGGTAGAGAGTCAACCTATGAACCAGGAGAAATCGTGGTTCAATTTCTGGTCTAGGCACATGCCTGGGTTGCAGGCTTGATCCCTAGTAGGTGGCATGCAGGAGGCAGCCGATCAATGATTCTCTCTCATCATTGATGTTTCTATCTCTCTCTCTCCCTCTCCCTTCCTCTCTGAAATCAATAAAAATATATTATTAAAAAAAAGATGACGGAAGTTCCTGAGTTCACCTCCTCTCATTGACACCAAAACAACAACTACATATAGAACAGCTATCTCTGAGAACAACCTGAAAACCAGCAGAACAGATTTTCTACAACTACTGATATTTTTTAAAAGCCACATTGAAATGGATAGGAGGGGTGGAGACTAAGTCTACTCAGGACTTACCCTATCCTCCACTCCCCATGCGGTGACTCACAAGTGGGAGGGATATCACAACCACAGAGATCTTCCCCAAAGAGCTAGGGGTCCCAGCCCTAGCCTGGGAGACCTAACCCAGGAAGAGGAACCCCTATAACATCTGGCTTTGAAAACTAGCAGGGTTTATATCTGGGAGAGCCAAAGGGAAACCCAGGTTGTGCTCTCTGAGTCCTGGCACAGAGGAGCAGATTGAAAAGCACCTAGGTCATATGCGAAGGTGAGACATTGAACTAGCTCAGGGCGTGTGCTGTAGCAACAGGAATCTGTTAGAACTTTCTCCTGAGTCAGAGGTGCTGGCAGGCCCCATTCCCCTCTCCCCTTCCTTTAACCTAGCAGGTGCCATTTTTGACACTCCATTAACCTCTCGAACACTATTCACCCCACCCTGGTGTTTCCCTGAGGACCCACCCAGGTTAGCACTCATCCAAAGAGGCTCCTTCCCTGCCACACCCCATGGGTGCTTATCTGAAGAAAATGAAACACTAATTCAAAAGGATATATGTATCCCCATGTTCACTGCAGCATTATTTATAATAGCCAAGATATGGAAGTAACCTAGATGTTCATCAATAGATGAATAAAGAAGAAATACATGCGCGCACACACACACACACACACACACACACACACACACACACACGCCAGAATATTAGCTATGAAAAAGAATGAAATCTTGCCCTTTGTGACAATATGGATAAGTGAAATAAATCAGAGAAAGACAAATACTTTATCTATGGAATCTACAAAACTAAACAAATGAACAAAACAAATCAACTCAGGTACAGAAAAACTAATTGTTGCCAGAGGGTTGGGTGGCGGTGGTATGGGCAAAAAGGTGAAGGGGATTAAGAGGTGCAAACGTATAAAGTCACAGGATGTACAGCATACGGAATACAGTCAGTATCACAATAACTATGATACAGATGGATAATGGACTTTGTGGTGATCACTTTGGAAGGTATATAAATATGAAATCTCACTATGTTGTATACCTGAAACTAATAATATTGTATGTCAACTACGATTAAAAAGCTTTACATTCGCCCTAACCGGTTTGGCTCAGTGGATAGAGCGTCAGCCTTCAGACTCAAGGATTCCAGGTTCGATTCCGGTCAAGGGCATGTACCTTGGTTGCGGGCACATCCCCAGTAGGGGGTTGTGCAGGAGGCAGCTGATTGATGTTTCTCTCTCATTAATGTTTCTAACTCTCTATTCCTCTCCCTTCCTCTCTGTAAAAAATCAATGAAAATATATTTTTTAAAAAAGCTTTACATTGTAGAATAAACATTAGATATTAGGCCTATGTTTTGTTTACTCTCTTTAAAAAGTACTGTAACATACCCAAGGTACTTCAGAGCGAAGCACCACATACCATAAACATCTACCATCTGTATTTGGAACAGCGAGTGGGAATTTGGACTGGGACATTACCCAGGTCTTGTCCATAAGCTTGTTCATTTCCTTGTATGAAAAGGAGAGAGAACCCACTATAGAGTGGCTCTGTTCCTTCTGGACAGGAAGGAATTGCTGTGGTCTGACTATGGCGGGTGAAAAGAAAGCCTCTCATCATTGTCCTGGTTGCAGGTGGTCCGATGTCACCACGTATCCCCTTCAAACCTGGCCGTCCATCGAATCCAGGTGGTCCTTCAAGAAACACATTATACATGTTGCAACACAAATAACCTCAAACTTATTCCAAAGTACTAATTTAAATGTTTGTGTATATCTGATAAGCCCCAAATATAGAAAGGAGCCACAGAATAGTGGTTTATAAAATGGTCAAACAATATTATTAAATGCTTGAATAATGTCACACAATGCCTGTTATAGATACTGCATAATGAACATACATTGTATGTTACAAATACAATGCCCGTGTCTATCTTATGGGTGTTCTGAGATCAGGTCTTCTGCTTTGTATTTCTCTGTGGTGCCTAGCACAGTGGTCTGCCTCTGGTAGGTCTTATGTACATCTTTTATGCATAAATCAGTGTATCCTACAATGGAAATAAGTCAAATATCTATGCTTTGAAAATCTATTCAAGAAGATAAGTTACATAGATTTTTTCATAAATTCAATAAACATGGAAAACATTGACAGTTCCTTTCAAAGGTGCAAACTTCAAGAATGTTTTTGATCAATTAGTAAGGCAAGTAAAAACAGAAGACTTTTTGTTCTGTGATAAGAGTTTATTTATATGAATTAAAACAAGAATACTTTTTTTACTTTGTAAATTTTCTCTGCATTTGAGCAAGCTGATTAATACACCTTTGTCACTATCCATTTTCTCATTCCTCCTGTTCTCCCTTTCTTCATCAAATACCCACTATTTATGATACTGGCAGAGGCTAGCCACCCCCATATCCTCTGATCCATTTCTACTGCCACTGCACCCCGACCCTCCACTCCAACCTGATCTGGGTGATGGTTCTTTAGAATTCTAAGGACACGCAGAGCTAGCAGACACTGGGATTTTTGGCCTAGTGAGTCAAGGGAGGTATTGTTCCCCATGAACAACCAGGCCATAGAGTCAGGCAGTGTCCTAGTTTAGTCCTAATTCTAAGTCAATACTTTTCACAAGGATTTGGTAAAGCCCCAATATTATATATTTTTTTCTGTCTCCTCACTCATTTCTGTCTTCAGGGTCCATGGGTCAGTCTTTGAAATTAACAAATAGGCCATATCCGAATTCTTAAAAGTTGTCTTGAAAAGTCAGATTGTCATTGTTTTAAATATATCAGATAGAGAAGGTATCTTCACTGTTCCTAGCATCTACCCTCTTTTGCAGGGGGCTATCCCTGGCTCAAACAGAAGATCCCTTCAGGTCTCTGCACAGGAATTGTGAAGTGATTAGCTGAGCATGACAAGGAACTCAAATGAGTGATTATGCAAATCAGCATGATCCGAGGATATTCTGCATTTCCACGAAAGTCCAAGGCTTTCCATTTAGACCAATGCTGTTTGACTCTTGGATCCCTTTCTCATTCTTAGGAGGTCTTTGGTAGCATTAGGACCAACTATGTCTGCTTCAGTGGTTCCCAAACTTTTTTGGCCATGCTCACCTAAGCATCTCTAAAATCCTGATGCCCCGCCCCCATGACATATAATTCTTACTATTCAAAAAGTGAATAATTATTCATGCGGAGGAAGCCTAAAAGATCATCAACTTGGTCTAAACAAGCTTCCAAAGAACATGGCATCCATGAAAGAGAAAAAAGAAAGAAAGGACAGTTGAAATACTGAGGAAGAAATCTCTAAGAAATTGTTAAAAAAGAATAGTAATATGAAGTGATATGAAAAAATAGCAAATAAAGTTTCAAAACATAGAGGACTGGAATGCATAAATATGTCACAATATATATTTATATACTGTATAAACATATAAGGCCTCTGGAACCATAAGAAATGCCAAAAATTCACTGTTAATAACTCATTCTCAAATTGCCCCCGTGTCGGGTGTGTGGCCCACGTTGGGAACCACCAGTCTACTTGCTAATCATTCTCAGTACAATCTGTACTGGAGTACTTTTGCTCTTGCTGTGGTCCCTTTCTGAAAGAACTAACTTGGTCAGTAAACTTCTTTTAATTAATAGAATTATTAGTAAGACTTCTTTTTCCAATTTAAAAAAACACATTTGAAGGAAAGTCAAATAAATAGTGCTCTAATGTACACTCATGACAATACTAAATTATGAGTTATTATGAAATTGATATAGTTAATATTAGCATATTTGAATTTTTAAAGATTTAAATATCCAGTCTTTATAACCTTATTATAATAGATCTGGGCATATAATTGGGAAATCACATTTAGAATTTTTTCTTATTTTAACAAAGGCAGCAATCCTAAAATATAAGATTTGGACATCTAGGTAGTTTGTAGGAGGTGCTTTTGAAACTTTTGCAGAAGGTAGATTTTGACCCAGGTGGATATATAGCTTATGTTCAGACTTAAATATTTAAGAGGCTTTTTCCCCACTCAGAGTTATTGAGTTGTAGTCAAGAATGGCATAGTTGCCGAAACCGGTTTGGCTCAGTGGATAGAGCGTCGGCCTGCGGACTGAAGGGTCCCGGGTTCGATTCCGGTCACGGGCATGTACCTGGGTTGCGGGCACATCCCCAGTGGGAGATGTGCAGGAGGCAGCTGATCGATGTTTCTCTCTCATCGATGTTTCTGACTCTCTATCTCTCTCCCTTCCTCTCTGTAAAAAATCAATAAAATATATTTTTTTAAAAAAAGAATGGCATAGTTAACACATGGCTTTCCCAAGTAAGGCTATCAAGTTGCTCTTCTATTTATATCAAGGTAATATTTCTCTACTTGTATAACACTCCCATAAGTAGATATTACTAACCAAGTACTCCTATAAATTAAAAACAGCACTGGCCTTTATGAAAATGGAATTAGTACTTCATGAGGACTAAATGTCCTCAAACTAATTTGGTGAATATTTGTCTAGTTAGGAGGTAGGAAACCTGGTGTGTTCCAGTAACTCTTGATTTTCATCTCCCAGATGAGTGTTCTGCTGCTGGTTTTTAGTCTAATTTGAACAGCACACACTGAAAGATCTAGATTATTATTGTGGTCACATATTCAAGTAAGACTTCTCTGTCTATTGAAAGCTCTCCAGCGAAGGCAATAAGCTGGCCGTTTACCTTGCTCTCCTTTAGAACCTTTGCTACCTTTTTCTCCAGTTGGTCCAGGAATTCCAGGCTTTCCATCCTTGCCTGGTTTACCTCTCGGCCCACAGGGTCCTACACATAAAACAACAAAAACAAAAAACAAAACAAAAAAATCCACATCGTATTGAATAGTTCATATAGGATAAAAGGTAGGGTGGTGTGCCATCCAGTTTACCTGGGATGCCCCCAGTTTCAGTAGTGTAAGTGCTGCAAGCTGAGCAGAAGCTAAGCCTGTGTAAACTGGGACAGTTGGTCATCCAATTTGTTACACCCTCATTCCCAGGAAAAAAGGCCCCTTAGAAATGAACGAGTTGTTTATGAAATACAGCATTTTAAAACTGCTGCCATTTTGATTTATGCTGTTCCAGAATTCACTATGCCATTGTATTGATCGAAGTAATATGTCATCTCCCAGGTGATTCAAACAAATTTAGAACATAATTCTATTCAGAAGACTATCACAATCTGGTGAACCTATATAAAGGGGTTAGTTCAATTTTCATACACTAATTCTAGTATTTTGAAAAGCTTTCATAAGATTAACCTTACATTTATATTTACTACTTTTCCAAGTGCTGTACAAAGCATTAGAAATGTCCCAATACATAGAAGTCAGGTTTATTCAGGCAATCAGAAATAGAGCTCTAAGACTAACAGTTGTCAGAGAAGACAGAATACTTTTACCTTAATTAAAAAACAACATCCCTAAGTGCCCTAGAGTGTACTTACTCAAGTTTACACCATGCACAACAGCTTTCAATATACTCAAAAGGCTTTGTATTTGCTGGTCAAGACTGACATGAGCTCAAATTTGAAACCGATTATAAAAATCCCTACAGTGTGTAACATTTCCTGTGAAGCACCGTTTGCTAGTTCAACTACTTCCTAGCGTTCCAAGTCAATGCTTCCAGTCCCACACCTGGGATTCCCGGTGACCCTGGTGGCCCAGGTTCTCCTGGCATCCCTGGTCCTCCAGCTTGGCCCGGTGGCCCTGGACTTCCTGGAAGGGAGATGATCTTAACTGTGCCAGGGTCTCCACGTGCACCTATTGACATGAACATAAGGAGATGATGGCTTTATTGATGAGCTACCCTTTCTTCATGGAGAGCAATACTAAGGCAATAATATTTACCTTGTGGCCCTTTTGGCCCAGGTGGCCCTGGAGGTCCAATTTCTCCTGGAAATCCTGGATTACCCTTCTCTCCTTAAAACAAAGGGAGGGGGAGGGGGAAATGTGATTCCTCTTCTTTTTAATTTAATTTTTTAAAATTATTTTTTTTATTGATTAAGGTATTACATATGTGTCCTTATCTCCCCATTGCCCCCCACTCATGCCCTCACCCCCCTGTTGTCTGTGTCCATTGGTTAGGTTCATATGCATGTGTGATTCCTCTTAGAACAGTGGGTTTCCTAGCTAGATACCGGAAATTGTGACTGGAAGTTATAACTCTGTGACAGCCTGCAACAGTGATATTCACATGGGTTTTGGCATTTCATTTGGACCCACTGTTTAATATCTATTGAAAAGTATATTCTTGTAGTAAGCATTAAGGTTTTGTATTTTAGCATTGAAGGGGGGAAGTTTCTAAGAGTTCACTAAGTTCAGAAAGCAATTCAATGTAATATTTAAGGTAAAATACAAAGTGACATCGAATCCTATTTCTAAATTAAAAAAGTGTAAACTCAGTAATGCCAGATGATAGATGGTCTTATTCTGAAATATGAGGGTGATTAAATGTTTCATGGACCATACACACTTTAACAGCTGATAGCTCAGTTTTGAAAATGAGATGTATTTTAATAAACACTGCCTTTATAATTATTCAAAGTGTGTGTATACATTTATTGGGATACCCTATATTTGATAAGAGAACTGGATTTTATGAATCTCCCCTCTAACTATCTCCCCAGAATGTTTCTTTAGTGAGGCCTTTATGTAATTTTTCAATCCTTAGATATTCCTGTTGTGAGACTGGGGAAGTGACAGGTGGCACACATGTTTCCAGGCTGCCTGCCAGTAGTCACCCACCCAATGTCTAATGAGACTCATCAGAATCAATTGCTTTGACTTATTCTTAGCTAATGTGCTCCTTGTGGAATCAGTGATTGAAAACATGAACAAGGCTCTCTTTGAACTTCTTAGTCCTGGAAAAAGTCTTCCTTTATGATAATGTGGCTGTATTCACTTTGGCTACACTTATTATTTAGCATCTTACAGTCTATAATAGATTCCCTGCCATACACAAAATAATAATGAGATTTAGCCAGCGAAGACAACAAATCCCATAGTCAAAAACTTATTTAAGGTGACAGCACCCTTATGGAAGATTAGAGAATTTCTAAAACCTGAAGCTTATATTTCTGGGGATGAACATCTTAAACTTAAAAATCCCCAAAGTATAGGTTTTTTTTCTGATTAAAAACATAATATATGTGCCCCATAAAAAATGCTAAAACCTACATATAAAAATGTACCCGGTACTTACCCTCCCCAACTAATAAACCGTTTAATGAATATTCTTTTAGATTTTCAGCTTTTAAACTTGTAATACATGCACAAGGTAAAAGAAATAACCCAAGCAATGCTGTTGCTATTAATGTAGGTCCCCAGCCCCCAACCCTCACACATCAGTACATTCAAAGGTAACCACTTTAAACTGTTTCTGTTTAGTTTTCCTATAGTTTCCACCTTTAAGGTATGGTTTTGTTTTTTAAGTCCTCTTCTTCACTAACACTGAGGTCTTTTTTATTAAATCCTAACTGTCTGGGATGACTGTGGGAGTTCAGTAAACATGTGTGTGACTTACACTGTGAATCTCAGTCATTGTATTTGCATCCAAAGAGCAGTTCACAAAACAGTACCTTTCATGCCTGGAAATCCTTGGAACCCAGGGTCACCTCTGGGCCCTGGCAGACCTGGAGTACCGGGGGCTCCCTATATTTCAAATAAAAAAGAGCAGAACCACAGACAAATTTTAAAAATCACAACATTCAAAGAAAATAGGATATAAATAGGATAAAATATGATCGGTAAGAATGAGCTGAGGTTAAGAGACATCATTTTAACTTTGCAATCACTGTTTCACCTCCTATAATTCCTCTGCCACCTACATATCTCCTTAAGACTATTGTTTTCAATAATAATAACTTAAAAAAAGAAATAAAAGGTAACCTTAAGCCCAAGACAAACATAACCTCTGATACTCATAAATGCGGTGTGACTATTGGATCCAATTGGATAGGAAGAGCAGGCACCAGACTGCTAGAATAAGAATTATAATTTGTATTTGTAATTCTTGTGAAAACAAGCTGTTGAACTGTAGCACCCATCGTCATTCTAACTAAGCCAGCAGAATTATAAATTGGTCAGAGTGGTAGAAATAGTGTCCAAAGATGGGAGCATGAAGGCGTGGTTAGGGCAGTTCTGACATGCACTTTGGACAAGGATGCAATGGTCTGCCTGGGAGGAGATGATCCCTCCAAATGAGGCTTTACACGAATTGCTCTTGTAGCCATGAGATGCCCAAGCAAAGACATAGGAGGAGAGGGGGAGCAGGGCTTCCGAAAAGAGCCATATATTGGAATGTATGTTAAATGTACAGTGTCCATGTGAATTGAGACAGAATGTGATTACTTGAAAACTGGACATGAAAAATGCCAACAACAACAAGACTGCCCTTTGAGCCAACTGTCATTGGAGCAAGAAGACCAAACGAAGAAGCAGTCCTATTGCTTGGATAAGGCCGTGTGAGGTTAAAAAAAGGAGGGAGAGCAAACAGAATCATCTGATCCAGGACTTCCAGGCTTCTGAGGTCTGGCAGAGATAACCAGGGAGGAGGGCCCGGTGCCAGGCCCAGGCTTGGGTGGGGAGTGAGCTCTTCCAGGCAAGGAGAAAGCTGGCAAAGGCAGCCTGCCAGTTTAGACATCCATCAAGAAGAATTACCTTTCGAGCACCAGTGTGGAAGCCTAGATCGTGGAAGCCCAGAAGGTTTAAGATCACATTTCCAAACCAGACTGTCCACATCCCAGTGTCCTGGGGAGAACTTTTGATGTGATCATAGGGTCAGTGTTTGCCACTTTCAAAGAATCATGAAGAACTCAGACTGAAGAAGGGCAAATATCTCACTTTTCAAATAAAAAAAAGGTTTTAAAAGGGTAGATTTTGGAAACCAAATACCAAGAGATCTTAAGAGAGCAGCACGATTCCTGACCCAGAACATCTATGACAGAACTCTGATTCCTCATCAGTCTCCAAGAATTTGATGTAAACAGAGGAATCAGAAAGCTAGGAAGAAGGTTGAGGTGCTGCGTGAGAGGCTGAGTTGAGAGATAGTAATAGGCTGGGAGATGAGCCTAAATGAACAAAATGACATCTAAGAAAGGTAAATGTGAAAGTCCCACATTTAAGTCTCAACTAAACATGCAGAACAAGAACTAATGGAGAAAACTTAGTAGCAGTTCACGGGGGAAAGGCACATGGGCTTTCATTGACTGTAAGCTCAATGTGCGTTGACAAGTTGGGGACGTGGCAGCCAAGCAGCCCGAGTGGATTTTAGGTTGTGTTACAAAGTGGGGATGTCAGGGTAGTGAGACTCTTCCCTCCTCCAGGCACCCCACTGACGACCGAGTTCTCACTCCTGGATATTCTTTGTCCAGGGCCTGCATTTTTAAGGGAGATATTGACAAACTAGGATATATCAATAGAGGCAGGGATGATGAAAAGTTAAACTGAATTAGAAAAAAAAAAAGCAACACAAACAGGTATTTATTGGAGGGGGAGAAAATATAGGAGTGGGCAAAAGTAGGTTTACAGTTGTGAGTATGTGAAAGTTTATTCTTGTATTATTTATTTATTAATTAATGTATTTATTATTATTATTAACCTACTTTTGCCCACCCCTGTATTTGGAAGGAAATGGCAGGTATTTACGAACACTGCAGTGTATGTCATGGGAAGACAATATACATTTAGGGGTAGCACACATAACTTTGAAAGCATATTAACAGAGACAAATCATGTTGTCTTCTAGAGCAATCCCAAACCCCTAGGTGTTTTTTGAAGCTTCCATAACTGGAATTGTTCAGAATCGAAACAAGAAAAGGTCGGGAGTGACATAGAGAAGGGTCCCACATGGACCACACTTTAGGGGCCTCTTAGAAGCCAAATCTAATGCTTACGACTCTGGTTCTCTGAACTCCTGGACTCTGGCTTCTCCTGGGTGCACTGCACAGAAGCATGACAGATGGGAACATTTTGTTGCCTCTGCCTCTGATCCTGGCACTTGGTTTGGAAGAATACAAGAAGTCAAAATGGTTTTCCACACTTACGGGAGGACCCGGTGGCCCTGTGTCTCCTATGGTTCCAGGTGGGCCTCTTGGGCCTGGCTCGCCCATAAGTCCCTTGTCTCCCTTTATGCCTTTGATGTGACTCCCCGGGGGTCCAGGGGGACCAGGCTCACCTGAATTCAGAAAGAGCCTGTTAGTACTGCAGGCCGGGGAGCTCGGCAGGTTCTGTCGGCGATTCTTTGGAAGAGAGTGCAAACCCTGTTCCTGACCATTACCCTGAACAGTTTCTCCTTTGGGAGGGTGATGGGATTGTGGTCAAGACAGAATGAGATAACGCCAGTGCAGCACCTGGCACAAGGCAAGAACGGTTTCTCCCTGATGCAGGTCTGGGAGAGCAGGATCTTCTCCAGCTCCGTACCTAACCCAGAGCAGGAGTCACTGGGAATGGATGCATCTCTGTCTTTTAGGCTAATTTGGCATTTACCAATTTTACAGACCATCTGCCTCAACAATACCAACAGCTTTCGGGCACTCTGCGTGAAAACCGGTGGGTATGGGAAGGTGGAGAAGACCGGAGGGAAAAGAAGCAATAAGGTCACACGAGGGGGAGTTGAAAGCTTCTGATGTTAAACATTATTTTCATTCTTTTATCTTCTTTAAAAGTAGACCCTCTACCTGGATTTCCTCTTGGGCCTGGTGGACCTCGGTTTCCCTTTTGGCCAGGGATGATTGCACCAGGGAAACCTGGTGGCCCTGGGAATCCTGGCACGCCCGGGGGTCCTTGAGGCCCAACGTCTCCCACTGTCCCTTTCCTGCCGGGAAGGCCGGGCAAGCCTGGGGCTCCTCTGTCTCCTTTCGCTCCTGCAAAGGGAAAGGCTTTATAAGTTTCCGTAATGCCCCTATACTGGGAGTTATTGTTTGTGGTTATCTCTAATAATGTGTCAAGATTCACTATATATATATATATATATATATGTATGTATGTATGTATTAAATAAGCTGGTAGAAGAAATGCAGGTCTCGAGTCAGTTCTGCCTTTGATTAGCCATTTGATCTTGGCAAAGGCACTTTACTTTGTCATATTCTTTTTTTAAAAAAATATATTTTGTTGATTTTTCAGAGAGGAAAGGAGAGGGATAGAGAGTTAGAAATGTCGCCGAGAGAGAAACATCAATCAGCTGCCTCCTGCACACCTCCTACTGGGGATGTGCCCGCAACCAAGGTACATGCCCTTGGCCGGAATTGAACCTGGGACCTTTCAGTCCGCAGGCCGATGCTCTATCCACTGAGCCAAACAGGTTAGGGCCATATTCTTATTTTTAAAGTGAAGGTAGGATATGACCTAGCTCACGTCTTCAAGGACCCAGTGAGGTAATAAATGGAAAAGTGAGATGGAAAAGCATGGTGTAAGGTCTATAAAGTGTTCTGTAAATGTAAGCCATGATTGTTATTATCTGGTGAACTTTCATTAAAATGACATTATTTAATCACTGAAAACTCAGTACAGCTCACAAAGCTAAAACTTCATGGCAATGATGTGTGCATTGGAGGTGGCATGCAGCTCAGTCCAGGCAAAGGAACAACAAAGCTGTAATCCCGCTCTGTCCTCTGGTTACTCCTCCCCCATACTCTGCAAGGGATGGGTGTGGCAGGAGCTTTGGATTTACCAAGGAAGGCCCCCAAAGGTCACTACTAAATAATAATATTTTTTAATAACCTTCAAGAACTTGTACATTGACATTCACGAATGGAAAACTGCTGTATAAGTTTAAAATAAACTCTCCCCTCTCTCCCATCTTGGTATTATTATAGAAACAGTAAGTGGCATAAAAATTGGAGACAGATATGATGGCAGGAAGACAAAGTGGGGATGAGGCTGCTGGCACAGGAAGACTTTGGGAAGCTATTATGCAGGGAAGACTTAAAGTGAGGATGGAAACAAAATGGATGAATATTGACTATCTAGCCTTTTGTCTATCATGTTCTTTAGCTTTTGGATGTTTAGATGATTTCAGCTCACTCTAAGCTGTGAAATACTGTATTTGTACAATGGTCTGGCAAAGGTCTGAGGCACCAAGTTGCTGTCTTGGGTTATATATTCCAAGTCCATTCAAATTCTTCCTTGTTTTATGATATGGTTTCTTTTTAGGATTTGGGAGAATAAACTAATGAAAAGGATTCAGACCTTCCACGTCTCAATGAACTCTTCTCCATATTTAGTTATCCTAGAGGAAATGAGGTACATAATCATTTACTTACACAATTAGGCTATTTGTTATTTTTGACTCTTTTTTAAAGCTTAAGATGTGGTCATTTTATATCAAATTTTATTTCCAAATAAATGCTAAAGATTCCTCATTCCAAATGGTTAAATTGGGAAATTAGCCCAGGAAAATGAACAGAAACTCTCCTTTTGGACATAATCCTAAAACTTGTCTGTGACCTAGACTGGGAAAGCTATTTGCTCATGGGGGAGGGAAGTGTGTGAGAGAACGTGGGGATATTGAACTCATCCGCAAAGATGATCACATCATCCAGAAACAAACAGGAAGGGGCAGCTTTTGTCTATGTTCTCAGTTGAGCTGGTAGGTCAAGAGGAAGTTCCTGCCCCTCTGAGTTTCTCAGTAGCATCAGACTACTTCTTGCTTGTTCTTGTGAGTATTAATAACCACGGTTTAGGTGTCTTTGCTAATAAAATTCTCAAATCCACAGGACCCATGGCTGAGAAGGGTCAATAAAAGATACAAGTAAGCTAATGTTTCTTCTGGCAGGTTTCTCTACAAAATGGGAAAACTTAAGCTGCTTATTTTATGAAACACTGGCATGAGAAATTCAGAATTACAGTTGTCCATTGAAAAACTTGTGTGTGCTTTGAATGATATGCTCAGTAAATTGCCAGGTCTGAGATGTTAACAGAATTTATCAAGAGTAGCACCACCCACAAGCTGGCTCTGGGGTTTGGAATCAGAGCTGTGAAGATGATAAGGTGGGAAAGGGTTGGCGTTATTCCTGCATCTAAGAAGAGCAGGGAGGGATGCTCATTGAGAAGCCACCAATTTCACCTTTTCCTTTTAGGAAATGATGCCTTTAAAACATGCTGTCAACAACAAAGCAAATAGATAAGAAGTCTTTTTATTTTTAAAGACGTTCATAGCAGGAAATCCTGAAATTGGATCACAGTTTCTAATTCATTCACTTTGTGGTAATGGTAATAATGAAGCATTTTTACTTGAATACGAAGAATAGAAACCTCCTTTTTACCACTGGGACTCCTTTAATTCCATATGTTTTTATTTTATAGATCAAGCATATTGCATTAGATTCTGTCCTTGAACCTGTGAGTCACAGGGCCAAGAAGGAAGAACTGCTCACCTTGAACACCAGGTTTCCCTTTTGGGCCTGGAAGTGCCCCCAGCAAACCTGAAAGAGGTAATTTTGGCATATTAATATTTTCTATGTGGTTGATTTCATTATGTAGATATGATTCATTCTACTGGGTCAATTTAACCTTGGCAATAAAAGGAAGTTTAAATGGTCACACACCCAGAACATGTTAAAGATTGTTCTGTCAGAAAAGAATCTCTAGTGTAGTGAAGGGTTACTAATTAGTAATTAATAATTAGTGTCACTAATTACTTCATGCAAAATAAAACTAGTAGATCCAAGATAATGAGCAAGTTGTACCTGTTTCTCCCTTTTCTCCTGGTGGACCAGGAATCCCATCGCATCCTTGGTCTCCTCTCATACCCATTGGTCCAGGGTTTCCTGGGAATCCTGGAGGGCCTGAAAAAAAAAAAAAAAGAAGTCATTCAAAGAGAGAACTTCCTTCCTATCAATGGTCTAATGTGCCAGATGTGTGTAATTCTGGTAAAAGTGTTTATTTTGCAGAACTGTAGTTCTGTGCAGCTAACTTCACAATGAAAGCTATGAATAGACTAATACAACCATGAGGATTATCACTTTGGAATGTCTAGGTTGGCAGACCTTTGAATTAGGTATAAATAGCTAGCCTCACTCTTCTGCATTTCTGCTTGAGGACCGAGTAACTGGAGGCTACCTTCTAAAGAGCAGTCGTGGCTCAAAGCTACAGCTAAGCAGAGAGTTCAAACTCAGGGGGAACGCGCTTCCCTCAGGAAAGGGTGATAGACAAAGTAGAGAAGGAACCTGGAGGGCCTTTTGTTCCTGGAAATCCAGGGAAGCCTTTCATTCCTTTTGACCCCATGTCACCATCAGGACCCGGCTTTCCTATAAATGGAGAGAGAGGGAAAGGACAAAAAATACCGAAAGATAAATGGTTACATTGGCTGAAATGGTCGGTTCTTACAGTCAACTTTGCTCATGTTGTACCCATCACCTCAGGCTTTTCCTTGGGCGCTACTTCCCTAGAGAAGCACAGCAATGTGTTGAATCACTTTGAAAGTGTGCATACAGCAATCACGTGGGCCACTCGATACCTGACTTATTGCTTTAATTGAGAATTAACAGCAAATCCATGGAACCTTTTAGTGTTTGAAATGATAATTTAAATGGTACCTGTAAGTAAGACCTGTGGCTGCAACCCAGTAGCTTAGCAGTTGTTTTTAGTAAAGCAAAAACAAAAACTGAAACCCGAATTATAAGCAAATAAAAAAGAAAGCCCTGCCTGACCGGTTTGGCTCAGTGGATAGAGCATCGGCCCGCGGACTGAAGGGTCCTGGGTTCAATTCCAGTCAAGGGCATGTACCTTGGTTGCAGGCACATCTCCTTTGGGGAGTGTGCAGGAGGCAGCTGGTCGATATTTCTCTCTCATCGATGTTTCTAACTCTCTATCCCTCTCCCTTCCTCTCTGTAAAAAATCAATAAAATATATTTAAAAAAAAAGAAAGCCAAAGTTTGACCTTAAAACATTCCAGAAAAAATAAAACCACAACAGTGTTATGGGTTGAATTGTGTTGCTTCCTAATTTATATGTTGGAGTCCTAATCCTCAGTATTTCAGAATATCACTCTACTTGGAGACAGGGTCTTTAAAGAAGCGGTTAGATTAAGATGAGGTCACTAGGGTGGGCTCTACCCCAACATGACTGGTGTCGATAAGGAGAGGCTATTTGGACACAGACACAGAGGACAGACACGGGGGAAGGTGGCCCTCTATGAGTCAAGGAGAAAGGCTTCAGAAGAAATCAAACTTGCCGATACCTTGATCTCAAACTTCTAGCCTACAGAGTTGTGAGAAAAGAAATTTCCACCTGTGTTGTTTGTTATGGGAAACCTAGAAAACTGATGCAACCATCATAAGATTGGACAATGAACTAACATTTCACGTCTTTAGGCTGAGCACCTCAGAAGTTTTGTTTACAGGAGCAGCTTTTTAGATCTCAGTCCACCAAACTGGCTCATCGGCAAATAAGGCTTCTCTTGATTAATCTTCTACTCCTTAGTATCTTAGAATTTGAAGATCAAAGTTGAATAAAAGCAATTATAATACAAAAACCTAAATAGCTTTCTGTCTACAGAGACGATTCTAGGCAGTGAGAGCCACGCCTCCTGCTCTCAGAGTAAAGCCCATGCTCACCTGGGTGGCCGGGACTTCCAGGATGTCCAGGGACGCCGTCAGGTCCAGCAGGCCCCGAATGTCCAGGTGGCCCAGGTGGCCCTCTTTCTCCTTTCATTCCCACATCACCTGGCAATCCTGGTTCTCCCTTAAATTCAGTCAGACACCTTTAAAATTCTCATATAAGCAGGGTATGTGATCAGAATGAAGTATAAACTATATTTGTTTGCATTTATTTATTATTATTAGCACTAGAGGCCCAGTACATGAAATTCGTGCACTGGTAGGGTCCCTAGCTGCTGCTGGCTGGGTACTCCCTCCCTTCCCCCAGTTGCCGGGCCGGCCCTGCCCCCTGGTCAAACTCCCAGACGAACTCCCGGTTGAGGGGACAATTTGCATACTATGCTTTACTATATAGGAATATTATTTAGCTAGTTAGTTAGCAATTCATACTGAGTATCTGCTGTGTGCCAGTACTGTGACAGGTGTTTGGAAAAGGGGGCTACTTGTTTTGTGGGACCCAGCCCAAAATGAATATTCAGCTCCCTTTTACAAAATGGTAAAGCATGCTCTGGTTTCTCTTCAGACCGCATAAATCTTTCACCTTTGACAAAATGGTAAAGCAATTCAAGACAGTGACATCAAAGCATTGAACCAAGTGTTGCTGTCCTTCTTAGCACCCAACCTCTGTGACTACATGGGTCACACACTTACAAAGCTGGCTCTCACCAGGAATATAATAACATATACACATGTGTGATATATACAGTCCCTGCTTCATGGAGCTTTAGAGACCAGTGGGGAGATAGGAAATAATCACACAAAGGTATAATTTCAACTTGTGATGATTAACTCAGGAATAGGAAAGAAATAGTTAGACCAAATGAATATATGTTCTACAGATATTATGCATGCCGGTAAGTGCATGTCAATCATATGTAAAAGAAAGCAAAGTCTTCATTACATTTGTACTTCAATTTTATGATAAACCAACACATATGGATTTGGTGGTTACTTACAAAATCTCCATAGTAATTGATTAAAATATACTACTCTGTTACTATGATTTGCCAGTCTGATAAAATGAGCCCATTTTTTTTTTGTTCAATGCGTAGTTCTGACCATCTCTTCTGTGGTTACCTATGAAAACCCTAAATCTACGTGAAACAATTAATTGAATGTGAATCAAGCATAAGACAATTCCTCACTGAGAAAATATCTCAGTGGAAACGGTGTCTCCCTGGTTTTCTGAGGACTAATCTAAAATCAAGGGCAAAGGAAATTTATTTGTGCTCCAAGTAATAAAGGGCTGCTTTCTTGGGTCTGTGTGGCTTCTAAACATTTTCTTTTATGTTGTTTTAGTAATTACCACTGGAGAACATGATTGGTGGAAATCTTTAGGTAAGGTAATATTTTATTGGCTCAAAATTGTCAGGGAAAAGGCCCTCTAAGCAACAAGTTTTATATATTTGAGAGTCGTATACTTTTGAAAGTCTGATAAAAATGTAGACTCGCCCCTACAAAAATTTGCATTCATTTTACATTCAGTTTCAGGAGATTAGCAGACTTCTTCGGGTTCCATAGATGCATGGAAATCCATGTTAAAACCCCTGCTTATGGGAATTCATATTAACCATTCTCTAGTGATCTAGCTCTGGCTTTTATTGTAAGTACACACAGAAAGATTGGAAGGAAATGAACCTAAAAAACCCAGCTGAGCCCCATGGAAATGCTTGGTGAAATGTTTGGTTGTTACTTGGTACAACATGCTAGCAAGGGCTTCAACCTCTAGTTAACAGCACAAGCACTGAGAGCATTGAGACAAGATACAATTCTGTGTAATGGAATGAAAGTATAGTTCTGAAACAATTAAAATACAAGTATGTATCTTAGGATTTTGTCTGCTTTTTGCTGATGCTCTAAAGTTATTTTGCTTTATATCTTTTATTACAGTTTAATAAGTCAAATGTTTTTTATTATAAGGTGTGGAAATTTATTTTTATAAGTCTGTGTGAGGTGAATCCACAGCAGAGACTGGCTACTTTGTGTCACAGAAAACAGACACTGCCCTGGCAGATTGTGTGAGTCACTGATCACTGCCTCCTTCTGGCAGCACACTGAAATTGCAGGGACAATTATGAGAAATTCCTTGAGAGTTGAAACTGACAGGAATACATTAAGAAGTTGGCAGCTGTGTAATAGGCATCCTCAGTTGTGAAGATATGATTAAAGAGAACCCAAATACCTACCTGAAAATATAATAATATTTAAAATGTTCTCTGCTCACATTGAATCCAATAGTTGTTGGTATTTAAAGGGACTCACCCCACCACCAAAATGTAAGTACTTCACTGGGCGATATACCTTGGGTCCTGGTGGTCCTGGCCTTGTGCGTTCTGAATAACCTGGCTCTCCCTTATCTCCTTGGAAACCATGAATACCTGGGAAGCCTGTTTTTCCAGGGTGACCTGGGAGTCCCAAAGTTCCTCTCTCTCCTTTGGACCCTGAAATTAGGAAAGAAATCAGATAAAAGAGGTAAACACAGGGATCTCGAAGTGTTCTACTTCCAGCCTTTGCACAAACCACCTTTCTTTTAGGAAGTTGACTTTTCGGTATCACCAATATACCAGGTAGTCATAATGGATTATTTTTACACAATGTAAATATTATTTTGTTCTCACTAGTGTTCTAGTTGCACATAGTGCATTTGTCAGAAAGTAAATCTAGTTGTATTACACCAACTTTCTAAGAAATGGGAAATCAAAACAACACAAAAAATCTAGAACTGGGATCCATCATAAGCTTGTAGGCTCATAGCAGGATCTTATACATTACCTGGCACCCCCATGTTCCCCATGCTTCCTGGCACTCCACGGGGGCCAGGTTCTCCAGGATTCCCATTGCTTCCAGGATCTCCTCTGGGGCCTTGAGAACAAATAAACAGTCATGTGCCCTGCATAGTTCCTGGACACAAGCTGCTCAATAAATATTGGTTGCCTGCATGAATTTATGTATCCAGAGCAGCCAGGCCAGTTGGTTTAAGTACTTGCTAGCTGCCTTTTTGCCTTCATATAAGGAGGGGACTGAGGACCCAGACATGTAAACTTATAGGTTCTTGTCAGCAGGTTTTGATTTTGAATATCAAGATCATCTTAGGACCAACACAGGGAAGTAATAGATTTCTACACAGAACATTTATTGCCATGTAATATATTTTGATGGGATCACAGAGAATAAGGTGGCTACTTTATTTTTTTTTTAAATATTTTATTGATTTTTTATGGAGAGGAGGGGAGAGGGATAGAGAGTTAGAAACATCAATGAGAGAGAAACATCGATCAGCTGCCTCCTGCACAACCCCTACTGGGGATGTGCCCGCAACAAAGGTTCATGCCCTTGACTGGAATCGAACCTGGGACCCTTGAGTCCGCAGGCCGATGCTCTATCCACTGAGCCAAACCAGTTAGGGCTAAGGTGGCTACTTTAATTGTTCAAAAAATTAGTTTGCAAACTCAATAACCTGATTAAAAAAGAAAGAGGCAAATTTGAAAACCTCTAAAGCATTATCTGGTTTTCTTCTATGATATGTAATATTGTGATAAATTAAAGTTTACAATACATATTAGTAGTTTCAAAATAACATTTTTAGTACAAAAATGGAACTTTCTGCATATTGATATTTTTTAGTTAATACAGGCTAACTATACACACCTTCATTTTGGTTTAATTTAGAAGCAAATTTCTGTTGGAAGACTGTTAGAGCAGGATTCAAATTCATACCAGAAAGTCTAGAAACACATTTTTGTTACATTTAGATTTAGGGAAACTTAAAGCCTGATATTTCTGTTAGCAAGTCCACTGTACCTAATGGTCCTGGAGGTCCAGGTGGCCCTTTGAGTCCTTTTAAACCTGGTAACCCGGGAATGCCTCTGTTTCCTTTCTCACCCGGCTGTCCTGTAAACCCTAAAGTTAAACAATGTATTAAAAATACAGGTTAGAATTTTATCAGAGTTATCCACATCCTGATTAACATTGATGTGATATTGTTATAATAGGATATAGGATATTTATTAAGAGAATGGGCCAATGTGGACTTATCTCTTTTTAAAAACAGGATTAAATGAGAATATTAGCACAGTAGCTGGCATGAGTTAGCTCTCAAACAAAACCAGCAATTATCAAGCATTATAAGAATTAGTGGCCTAAATATAACTTCTTCTGGCTTTATCTTAGTGATGCCAGAGGACTATGTTTGTATCTACACTATCCCATTCTCAGTCCATTTATTATAACTATGGTGTATTAACTAATTAGCATATGGCAGACACTATTCTGTTTTTATTTATCTTATTTAATCTGCAGGCAATCTCAGTCTATCCTCAAGCCTCCCCAGATAGAGTGCAGAGATGAGAAAACTGGCTTAAGAAGTCAACGGACTAAGCTAGAGGCGCCCTGTCCATCAGTAGTAGTGTTGGGACTTGAACCCAGTTCCACAGGCGGGAGAACTCATAAACTTCCCACAACGCCGTCCTGCTTTTGTAGAACATGGCTTTGATCACACTATTTTCCAGATCAAAAAATATTACTCACTGGCTTTCCATACATACACCTGCGTCTCCCCTGCAGACTCCTTTAGGAGAGGGCCACAATTGTGCTTACCTACACCCTCAATACCTCATCCATTTGCAGTGGATGCCTTTGAGTCTTTGAGAAATTAAGATTTCAAAAATGGGTTGTATTTAAATTAGAGAGGCCTACAGCACCTTGTGCAGAATTTGTTAAGCAAATCTTTATCCATCCTTATGTTATAAGCATAAAAATATTTGTTGGCTACAATCCCACTTCTCAAAATGTATTGCTGATTACTCAACACAATATGGTTTTGCAACTGAAGATGTACATTTTTCTGTATTATTCACTGCTATGAAAGCTTAACCTGCAATATTTCATTTTACCCAGAAATTCTCTTTTTTTCTAAAATTGGTCAAGGCAGGCTTTCTTAAAATGGATAAAACACTCCTCTCCAAAGGATTTTGAGCGTGAGAAGCAATTTTGGGATGCAAATGAGAAAAATTAATCCTGACGGCTGATGGAATATAGTGGAATGTGGGGTGGAGGTTTCTATTTCAGGCAGGGAAGGTTTTTATGTGGAACCTCCTAAGGGTTTATTTTTCAACTTACTTGGCAAATAGGGGTTTTGAGACTTACGGTTTAAAAACTGACTAGGGAAATTTAAAAACAGCTGACCAAAGTGCAGAGTGGACTTAGAAATAAAGTTATGCATTAAAGAGGCAACATATTATTGTGCAAGGCACATGAGACCAAGTTCTAGTTCAGGCTTGGGCCACCAACTGGCTATGGGACTGTGGACAGGACACTAAACACTGGCCCTCACTGTTCTCAATTGCCAACTGGAAGGGTTAGCCTGGATAATTCTCAGTTTTCGAATCAGCTCTGATGTTCTGGTTCTAAATGTAAGGCAGTCTGTACCTTTCAGGCCTGGTTCTCCTTTGTCCCCCTTTAAGTGAGCTATTTGAGAAGGCCCGGGAAGTCCTTTAGCTCCTTTCTCCCCCTTGGCTCCTGGGGGTCCTCTCTCACCCTTTGCTCCTGGGATTCCAAAGCTACCTGTAAGACAGGAGTAACCACAGCAGTTCCTTAATTCTTTAAGTAGTTCATAAGGATGCAAAAGTTAACAGTGCTTACCATAAAACAAAACAAACAAGCCAAAACACTTGGCAGTGCTTGTAGGGAAAAAAATGATCCCGTTCAAATGGGAAAAAGGAAAACAGGAAACAGCAAAATCAAATACATGGTTTCCTCAGAACTAGTTTCCCCTCGGAGAATAAAACATAACTTATGTTGCTGTTCCTTGTGCCTGATAACTGGAAAGCACTTCCATCACTCACCCTTCTGTCCTGGGGAGCCTGGGGTCCCAGGAGGCCCCGGAAGGCCAATGTTGCCAGGGTAGCCCATCATCCCAATGGTTCCTCTTTCGCCTGTCGAAACAAGTAACACAAAGCATATTCAGAATGAGAAAAGCAAGTGCTTTCTCCACAAAATAAATTATACTTAGAAGGAGAAAGCGGGAGCTGAAGGAATGGTTTCTGTAAATAAGAAAATAACCATAATTGTCTAGGAGATGGGTCAGTAACCAGTCTCTTATTACATCATGTATGTGGAAGTCATTGGTAGCAGATCACATTTGTGGATAAGAATAGAATATGTTTATGTTTTGGACTATTCCTCCTCCCCATCCAAGACCAACAGCTCATTTTGTTTTCTTCATAGCTGTTGTCTAGAGTTGAACTTATAACTAATGTATTTATTATTGTCTCACTCACTGTCAGAGGTGGAACTTGTCCATTGATATGTCCCTAGGGCCTAGAGCAGTGCTGGCATGTGATAACAGCTCAATCATATGAATGAAAGGATAACTTGCAGATTAAGTTGTTACCTATGCTCTTCTCTAGAGGAAAGGTCAGTGAGGTTACATGCCAGGAGAATATTGGAATATTCTTCTGAAACATATTAACTGTCAACACAATGATGAAATAAAATGGACTATAAGGGAATGCTATGAATAACCATATGCCAGCAAATTAGATAAACTACAGAAAATGGACAAACTCCTAGAGATGCCCAGATTACCAAAACTGACTCAAGAGGAAATAGAAAATCTGTTTAAACCCATAACAAATGAATAAATTGAATTAGTAATTTTTAAAATTATCACAAAGAAAAGCCCAGAACTGGATGACTTCACTGATGAATTCTACCAAACATTTAAAAAAATATACCTTTTCCACAAACTATTCTAGAAAATGTAAGAGGAGGCATGAGTTAACTTCCCATCTTGTTCTATAAGACTGGCATTACTCTGACACCAAAACTAGGAAGAAACATTATAAGAAAAGAAAAAAGACAGGCCCATTTCCCTTGTAAATACAGATGCAAAAATTCTCAACAACATACTAGCAAATCTATTTTAGTAGTAAGATATAAAAAAGGATTACACCGCAAAAATAACCATTATTTTCAGTGGAATACCTGAAACTAATATGATATGATATCACAACTGTAATTGAAAAATAAAAATAAATAAATAAAAGCAGAAGAAAATACCTGGTGGCCCTAAAATTCCTGGGTTTCCTGGATATCCTTTTGGACCAGGTGGTCCCATCTCGCCTTGATGACCTGGCAATCCTGGTGGTCCAGGTTCTCCAGGCAGTCCTGACCTATCCAAACCCGGAATCCCTGGGTCTCCCTTTGGTCCTGCTTCACCTTTTCTGCCTATATGTGAATGAATGAATGAATGAATGAAATAAAGGAATGGACACACAAGTACTTTCCCCACCAACTAAAGAAATATTTTATGGCTGTAAATATTTAGCTTTGTGATTTGGGGCTAAATAAAACACAAAATTTTTTAAGATCTCTTCTGTCTTTAGCATTCTCTGTTTCAATGACTCTTGTAGTAATAAAAATGTAAAATTTAGATCTATTTTCTAGTTCTGCGGGCACATCCTGGGACTGCACTTAATGACTTTGCCTTAGTCATTTGAACTTCCAGAACACATTCAGTGCCACTCACCATGCGTGAGTCCTCGCTGTAACAAATCCATGACAACAAGGTTTATGTTTCATACCAGTTCCCATGAGCAGTGGTCAGGACTTGCTGCTGGACAGTTCCAGAGTTAAACAGCAAAGCACCCAGCAGGAGTCCCAGGCCACTTGCCCATCTAGGACTGGTTTTGAGGCCCTCCTCTTACCTTGTTGCCCTTTCAATCCATTTAAGCCTGGAAGTCCTTGGGGTCCCCTGGGACCCTCTGTGCATCTCCCTGAGAGTCCTTTTTCTCCAGGTGGTCCAGGCTTCCCTGGTTCCCCTGCAAAAGAGAGACCAAGAATATATTCCGGGGCCAAAATCCAAGGTCCTAGAATTGCTATCCCAAGTATTCTCCTGTAACCGCCCCCCTAAACTGGGCCAATATTTATTATCTTTAATATGTCTTATACAGAGAACACTCATTAAGAAGGAAAAAAGGAACAAAGAAGGGAAGAAGGAACAAAGGTAGAGCAACAATGTTGAGTGGAGAAATAATTAAGCCCCACAGATTCTATTTATTCATCTAGAACTTTGTTTGAGAATTCTTGACCCCTAGAGCACCTACACATTCAATTTGTTGCATTTTAGCAAAGCTCACAGTGGAGAAAAGTACCTCGTGGTCCATCAAGCCCTCCAGTTCCTGGAATTCCAGGGAGACCTGGAAGTCCAGGGAGTCCAATTGCTCCATTTTCCCCAGAATTGCCTCTTTCTCCTGGAAAACCTGGTGTTCCTGGTTCTCCAGGCATGGCTAGTCCTGGTTCTCCCTGTGGCACAGAAATGGTGTTAGTATTATTATTTAATGCTTCTAGATACTTATTGACTACTAGTGGCCTGGTGCATGGATTCGTGCACATTGAAAAGAAATTAATTAGAAGAAAGACTCGTGTGCTAATTACGTTACAGCAAAAATTACATGTCAAAATAGTATATATAATATAGTATTATAAAATTAAAACACACGTGTGATTGGCGCCTGTGGGAGCTTTATATGTATCACACATGTGTGAGTCAACATATATTTTTAAATTTCCAGTGCACGTCACATGTACCAGCCTGTCAGATGTACGTATGGTCAGTGACTTAGCTTTTTATACATAGAGACTGGCTTGTCTTTAGGGCTATTTACTTGAAGATAACATCTGCATTATGGAGATCCTAAGTACCTTTTTTCACAGTCACCACCATTCTATCAACTCTAGTTGCTGACTTTTCTATAAATTTATGCATAATAATTCTTTAGATCCCCTACTTTTTCATAATACTGTGGGATTTTCTGTAACAATCTAGATGTCTCTGTGCTTGAGTTTTCTCATAACTATCCACATTTCTTTCTAGAGTTCTTCCATTTTCTTTTTTTAAAAAATATTTTATTGATTTTTTACAGAGAGGAAGGAAGAGGGACAGAGAGTTAGAAACATCGATGAGAGAGAAACATCGATCAGCTGCCTCCTGCACATCTCCTACTGGGGATGTGCCCGCAACCAAGGTACATGCCCTTGACCGGAATCGAACCTGGGATCTTTCAGTCTGCAGGCCGACGCTCTATCCACTGAGCCAAACCGGTTAGGGCAAGTTCTCCCATTTTAAATATATATGTTTCTGAAGGTTAAGGAAGAAATAGAAAGGCAAACCTGTCTTAACACTTTCTGTTTTCCTTTCTAAAAGGGAGGAATAGTTAAAAAAAAAAAACTTAAAAAAATTCATCTGCTTTAGCATTTACAAGTATATTGATAATTTCTACACAGAGCATCCTGACTGGCAGGAACATCCTAACTGGCCAACTGTAATTGTTCCTCCTCTTCCCCATTTCAGTCTGAATTTTAATTCTCAAAGACCTTGGCTCCTGGGAGGCCTGGACTTCCAGGTAACCCTGGCTTTCCCATTTCTCCAGGACAACCTGGTGATCCTTTAGTTCCCGGAGAACCTCGGTCTCCTACAGGGGAAAAAAAAAAAAAAGGTTGCATGATTAGTCTTATTAAAAGATTTTGGGCAGTATCTCTTTTATTTTACCTTATGTCATGAGGCAAGTAGCTATACATGTTTTATGGAAGCTTGAGTGATGAAAAAGCCAATGGCTAAATTAGCAGTTTTTAAAAATTCAATTCCAAATCAGATTACATTAGTTCCCAATTTTTAAAATTACCTTCTCCATTTTTGTTGTTTAACATCACTACAATTTTGATTCAGTATTTTTTTAAACCACTGATCTCAGTTGACCATTGGACAGACTTTTTCTTTAAGAAGCATATTTTACATTCAATATATAGCCAAATGCATATTTATACACACACACACACACACAACCCATATCAAGATATAAAGCATTTCCAGTACCTACCTAACCTTTCTCACCATGGGTTGCTCAAGAGAATTACTTCCTAATGCCCTATAGGAGCCACTGAATGTAATGAGTTAACTTGTCTCTTTTGCTTTATGGCAAGAGAATTGAGAAAGAAGTCACACACATCATTTTTTCTGTTCTGTGGTTCAGAAGAGGAAACCCTGGGTGGAGCAAAGCTGCCTTCAGAGAGTTCCTTTATGCCCCTAATTTGACCAAGTTTTAATTAACAATTAGTTTATGGGCTTCATTAGGTTTAAAAGGGAAATTTGGACTCTCCTGTTTCCAGGAGCTCTTAGGCTAGTCCTGGTGCCCAGTTGGAGTCTCCTTTGTGAAGGTGACTCCAGAGGGGATAGAGCCAGGAGGCAATTTTCTTCATGCAGGGTCCAAGAAGGACGAGGCAAAAACATGGGCCGGGCTGGGTTGCTTCAGAGGTCACTGGCAAGGAATTTCAGTCAAAGACATTCTTGGGACCACATGAAAAATCTGATTAGGTTTTTCATTTCAAGTACATACTCATAAATTGAGATCAATATTCCCATATTTGGGCAGAACTGATGCATGGTAAACACTGATGATACAGTAATTTAAGAGATAAAGCACCAAACAAGGATTATTATTTCTTTTTTTTGAGTTATTTTATTGAATTTATTGGGTGACATTGGTTCACAAAACCATACAGGTTTCAATAAACATCTGCATGCTGCATGGTGCACCCACCAAAAGTCTCTTTCCATCCTCATTGTCTCCCAATTTGCCCACCTCTACCTAGCCCCATTCCCTTTTTCTCTGGCTCTTACTGCACTGTTGGCTATGTATTTTGTATATATGATTTTTGGCTAATCCCTTCATCTTCTTTCATCCAGTTGCCCTGCCCCTTTCCCTCCAACAGTTGTCAGCCTGTTCCATGTATCCACACCTCTGTTTCTATTTTGCTCATAAGTTTATTTTGTTCATTAGATTCCACATAATAGTGAGATCATATGGTATTTGTCTTCCTCTGAATGGCTGATTTCACTTAGCATAATAATCTCGGATTATTATTTCAACAAACACCTTAAATAATACTGAAAAAAACATGAAATTATTATAAAACCTGAAATTGTATGCAACAGCCCAGTGACTGAGGTTACTCATATATCACCCCAGATAAGACGTGTGTGTGTGTGTGTGTGTGTGTGTGTGTGTGTGTGTGTGTGTGTATGCACTTGTCAGTGGGGAGCCGCTGCATTTCTTTGGAGAGTTTTCCCTTTGATGAGAAACAGCACCTTTTTTTCCTAAAGAAAAATAACTTCTGTGGTTTATTTTGGAGTGAATGGGGGAATCAGCTGTGTGTGATTTAATATTCTTTTTTATTATAAGAGAAATGCATAAAGTGAGGAAATGTATAAGTTAAAAAAAGTGTAGGCATCTATTCAGAAGTAAAGAAAGAATTCCTCACAATCCCACTATCAAGAAGAATCACTCTGGTGAATTTTTATGCATTTAAAAAACATGATTGAGATGAGGCTGCATAAATAAATGTGAACTCTCTCTTTTTGTCTATCGTCATTGTAGGATATTTTCCCCATTTAAGGCTGATAAAAGACATCATTTTAAAGGATAGTATGCATATTTCCTATGTTATTCACTATACATGTTTATAGTTTCTAAATATCCACAATGAACCTTACATTTTAAAATTTTTTAACTTACCCTTAGGTCCAGGAGGCCCAGGGAATCCAATTCCTGGAATTCCTGGATCTCCGTCAGGCCCAGGAATACCTGGTTCACATTTTCCTGTTTGTCCCGGGAAGCCTTAACAACACATATACATCCACATCAGCAACTTTCCTTTATATTGCCTTATAACCAAATGTCTAAGTTTCTGTGTCATCCCAGACATTTTTGGAAATTAAAAAAGAATTTACCACAACCCTGACTTCCTCCCCATTCCTATCCAGTGGACTAATCATTAGGAACTGCAAATAATTTTGAAAATATAATTTATCTCCTAAAAGAATTTTTCTAAATTTCTTACATTATGTAAGTCTCCTTCCATTCATATTGGCAAAGAAGTTAAGTTTTCTAATGAAGAAGCTGTGGGAACTATAGTCATCGCTGGCACCCATTCCTTGCTCCTCCACCAAAATCCATGAAGACTGTTCTGCTCATGAATTTCTCTTAAGTAACTGTTTCAACTCCCTTTTGGAATCAGAAGCACCAATGGGAATAATCTGGGTAACTTCAAAGGACAAGAGCAAGTCCCCTGTCTGTTGCCTTGTCATCTGACAAACTGACCTGTGCTCTCTTCGGGAGCCAGTGAATATAATTTTTCCTTAAAACTGGAACAGTGTTTTCCCAGGAAAGTCTGGGTGCTATCTGATGCCAGGCACCAGACTTGGCAAAGAGGATACTTACCAGGTGGACCGCGGGAGCCAGCATGGCCTGGTGGCCCTGGTGGTCCTGGGAGCCCTGGGACTGGTGTTGAAACACTGAATTCTCCCCTAGGGCCTTAAGAAGATTTATGATCATAAAATCAGTGTGCATATTGAAGCTTTTTCTTGGTTCCGAGGAAAAATATATGATAGGATAATAAAGGGTTTACAGACATATTCCAAGAAATATGAAGAATGATCTCTGCAAAATTGGCTTAACGATGACTAGCCCATAGGAACTTTTTAACTTAATTGATAAATATTTATAAGCATCTATTATTGTCTATGCCTTGTTTTAATTAACAGCCCAACATGCTGGCCTATTGGAAGAGAGCCTATTCTGAAAAGAATTGATAATATGAATGCTGCTTAAATATTGTTGAATACTGGTAGGTTACTTATTTATTGGGTAACTAGTTTTCATAAGAAGGACATATGAAATATTGCACAAACCACGAAGTGGGGCTGATGTGGGTTTAAATCTTGGCTTTGCTCTTTGTAAGGTCTGTGAGTTTGGCTATATTTCCAAACCTCTCCAATAACTTCCTCAGGTGTCATTATGAAAATAACACCTGCCTAGCTAGTAAAGGTTTGAGATAATGTTCTGGCCAAAGTGGCCAATATTAAAAACATGTTAGTGATTAGTACTGTCCATATATTTATACATTTATAGGAAAAATAAGTAGTGTGATGGGAAAATTGATGATAATGTATTTTAGAACATTGGAATGTTTCATTAAAGATTCACAGTTAGAAAGAATAGAAGAGGGTTTGAAGGTGGATTACAAGAGGACTGAGAAACATTTTCAGTCAAGGGCCAGACAGAAAATAGTTTCAGTTTTGTGGTTCAGATGTTTTTTTTTTTAATATTTTATTACTTTTTTACAGAGAGGAAGGGGG